GGACACCATCCTATTGACTTCTTAGGGCTCTACAGTGCAAGTATTTTATGTGTATTTGCGCCCAAAAGTAGATATGTTTTTAATTGCTGGCTGTCCCCCTCGCTGACCGATGTGTCAGACTGATGAAAAAATATGATTCTGAAATATTGCAGTAACAAAAGCAATAAAATAGCAGTGATGTTGATTGGGTCCCTGGGAAATTCAATGGGTCCCCAATTAAAAAATGTATTTCTTTCTATTTCTTATATTCTTCTATTTCTTAAATTGTAGTGTTAAACTCCTTTGATGGTGGTATGGTATGATATGGTTATAATTAATTGATATATTCATGTATGTTCAAAATGTAGCCTATCTGAAATTAAACAAATAAAATTCCAAATCTGAAAAGGTTATTGCAAAACAACTGTCACAGTGGCAAGACATACAAAAATTCAAATAAAATAGCATTTTTGTAGCAACATATAAATAGCACCAAATGGTTGATTTGTTATGAATTTTCAAAGTTTTGAAATTTAGGGGCTTGCTGTAGTGCCGCCATCAAGACTATTGTCTTGTGTTTCCAGTTGAGGACATCTGGCATGGGACTGGACCTTTGTGAAAAGTTTGGGTAGATTTCTCACATGGAAATGTTGAACGAGCAGAGGCTTGAACTCACAATCTTCAACACCAAGAAGCAGTCCCTATCTCACTGAGCTAATTGGCAAGTGGAAATGTACATGTAGCTTCATAAATTGACTAAGCCAGTCACCTGTGTGCAAGACAGCAGCTGTTAGTGTGTAAAGGCAGATTTCAAATGGCTGTCAAAAATTCAGTTATTAAGGCAAAAATACACAATTGCATCTAGACAGCATGGAGATGTTGGTAATTTGTTTTTAACAATGATTTATTGGCCCCATAAGTGAAAAACTGATGTTTGAAAATACCATTTTTGAATTGACTACTATAGCTGGGGCTTGAACTCAAACCTCTAATACCAAGAATCAGCTCGTAACTCATTGATCTAATTGGCTGGAAGTGGCTCCTAGTGTGTGACCTGAAAAATGGACTCAGGTAGTCACCAACCAGGCAGCAGTTGTCAAGGCAGATTTCAAAAATTGTCAAAATGTCATAAATTCTGTTATCAAAACAAAAATCTGATAATACATAAATTGCATCTTGACAGCATGGAAATGTTGGTGATTTGTTTTTAACGATAAGTGTTTTGCTTCATAAGAGAAAATCTGATGTTTTCCATATATCATCTACCATGACTCTAAAATTTTGTCATTTTTTTACATGAACATTGAAAATGTTTTTAGCAAGAATTTGCAAGTATGTGTTTACAATACTGTTTACAGTCAAACATTTTGATGCTCAATTTTCAATAAATCAAAAATCTGTCTGGATCGTTTATGGAGGGCAGTCTGAAGATGCTCTGTAGCAAGTTTGGTGTCACTTGAGCAAATATTGTGGGAGGAGATAGGTTTAATACGTTTTACAGTTTCTGAAAAAAACAGTGATGGACTTCATAATTTGTACTGAGTTTGAGTGTACAAAAGTTTCTAAATTATTGGGGCTATATTTTGGTGAAAGTTGCAAAACTGTAGCACATACGGTTGGTTTGGTAGGAATTTTCAAAGTTTTTAAATTTAAACGGTTTTTTTCCCCCCCCCCCCCCCCCCCCCCGAGAGAAATATTGACATGTGCTTGGAGTTGAGTAAATCTGGCATGGGACAGGAGCTTTGTGCAAAGTTTTTTTCATTTTTCGCGCATGGGAAGTAGGATTTCCTCGGAAGAAGAAAAAGAAGAAGAAGAACATTGAGGAAAACAATAGGCTGCCCGGCCCCTAATTATCAATAAAAGTGCTGATTTTAACACATAAACAGAACATTCTCATCACCATGACACAGTTAACAAATAAATTGTCACCAAAATAAAACCAAAATCTTCTTGTCTGAACATCAACTAAATCAAATGAACTGAGTCAATCACTGCACGTCCCCTAAACATTAAAACATCATCGACACGAATGAGCACAGCATCGAGCAGTGGAAACGGGGGTTTATTTACTATGAAGTTCGTATCTTTAATTGTTGAAATGAAATCCGCGGTGACTGGCTAGTTGTTTTGGTAACGGCTAAACTAGCATGTCGCCATACTGTGTACAGGGGATCACGTCTGCGCTGAGTAGATCATGGCTGGTAGCGTTCCGGCGCCGTGCCAGATCTCCGGCGTCATGCCGGCGTATTGGCATGACTGCGTGCCGGATCTCCCGCGAGGATCTCCGGCGAGCCGGCATATCGGCACGGCCGGCGAGCCGGAGATCCGGCACGGCGCTGGAATGCTATCAGCCATGGTAGATGCGCAGAGGGTTGAAACAGCACTTGTTTGGTCTGCTGACAACAAGGTTTCTTTTGTTAGTTACTGTGATTTTAAACACGAGTTGTTGTACACAATGTATTGTTTTTTCATGGGAAAAATGAGGTGCGTCCCCGGGACGCATGGATAGTGAGTTTACTGCGTCCTTTCAGATTTTAATACGTTAGGGACGCAGGACGCATACCTAGCAACATCACTGAAATAGGCTAATTTTATAGTATCTCAAACAGTGTGTGCATTTAGAAGATTTATAGAGTTAAAAGGGGTTGAAATAATCTTCATGTCTGTGGTCTCTTGCATTTTTAATATTGGTTAAGATTTGAAAATTCTCTAGTGTTGCCCCAGCCTTAGTCTGCCCCTCCCCTCCCTGTTTCAGCGAGATACTGTGAATGAGCCAGCAGGTCAGTCGCTCTGACAAATGTCTCTTTATTTTTAGAATGGATTTAGGAAGGAAGAGATCCAAATATACATATCTGTGGAAAAGAGCAAAGAGAAGATGCCATCATCATGCTGAGAATGTTGTCAGTCCATTGTTTTTCTTTTGTCATGTTTATTAGTGTAACATGTAAAAACAACATGTAAGAGCTCTCCAAAGCCCTTCTGGCTGAAAAAATAAACAATATTCAGGTTTTGTTGGCACAAATTAAAGTCATAGAAACAACAAAGAGAGATCTGTGTACAAACTCACAGCGCTAACTGACTGCGACAGTCTCGTGAGAGTTTTATTTGAGGGAGCGGGAGAGAGTCAACTGCGCTTAAAATTAACTGGATGTTTTATTTTGTTTCTGCGCACGACTTCCTGTCCCGCACGATCTGCTCTATGCTGAATTGCTGCGTTGTGCTCCGGCGTAAAAATAGAAGCTCTGCATATCTGCTGCGGATGCTCTGGAGCGCCGCAGCTGTGACAGAGCCTGTGGAACCACAAACATTGATTAGAATTGAAACGCATCAGCTCCGCTGCACACGAATCTGGTGGAATTTAGGGGTTACGGGAGGAAGCAGGAGACGGTCAAAGAGGGAGATGCAGCTTTCAGCAGCTGCATCAGAAACATTAAACCGATTTTTAACTTTTCAATCGGGCCATCCGCCAGTTCAAGCTACATTGAGACCTATTCATTAATCTGTGTACCGATGCACTCACATCTTTTAAATCAAAACCGATTTTCCGATTCAAATCGGTTATTCATTACACCCCTAGTTGATATAATTTTTCATGTACTAGGTGTCAGGTCAATTTTCCTGTAATATCAATTTTTCACTATTAGTCTATTCCTATTTCATATTGCATGTAGTTTGGGCCTTTTCTGTCTGTCTCCATGTCTTAATCCTTATCTGGCCCACAAGGTCAGCATATGTGAAGTAGTTTCTTTCTGTGTACGCAAAGGCGTTATCTGTTTCTCTGGCATAAGTACTTCCACTCTGTATGTCAATTTGTCTCTCATTCGCCGGGAGCTGAGGTTCCAGGGTCTGAATGCTTGATAATGTATTTCAAAGAAAATAAACGCCCAAAGGACAGCTCTCTGTGTTTTTCATGATCACCACAAATTATTGCCATTACACAGGCATTTGACTGGTGAGCCAAAAATATAATTTTAGACCCTGCATTGGCTGTTTAAAGCCAAGTCTTAGAAACTTTTGTTTGTTTGTATGATAGTGTGACGTGTGTTGCAATAAAAGATTATCTAACATGACTTTTTTTCTATTTTACAGGGGGGTGAAGCAGCAGACCAAACTGCAGAAAGCCAGGACTAGGGCTGTTTTCCTCCATCTATGTTACTTCCTGTATGTTTCTGTATGTTCCTGTTGCAGTGTTCCTCCATCTATGTTACTTCCTGTATGTTTCTGTATGTTCCTGTTGCAGTGTTCCTCCATCTATGTTACTTCCTGTAAGTTTCTGTATGTTCCTGTATGTTCCTTAGCAGAAAGTGTTCGTGTTTGCTCTCCTGGTGTTTTTTTTTTTTCTCGTAGTTTCCAATAAATCAGACAAATGTCAATGTTGACAGAATTTTTTTCTCTCTGGTTTTTCAGTGAGTATGTGATGGTGACACTTTAAATGTATTGGTATTGATGTCAATGGTATTGTTAAAAAATTCTAGGAACATTCTCTGAGTGTTTTAATTTCCTAGGAGTAGGAACAGAATCACATTTGTTTTATAATTTTCATGAAGGGAACATTAAACTGAAAACATTGTGGTAACCTTTCTATAGTGTTCAATTAACCTTGGGAACGTCAGGAAAACTTGCTGTTTATAATTGTGTTTAAAACATTCAAACATTTTGGCTATAATATTCAACTTACTTTCCCAGAACATTCTGGGAACATCAAAATAACCTTCTGGTTATGTTAGGAAAAGTTGCCGTTTTAACTTGGAAGGAACATTTGAGGGAGAACATTCTGGTAACCTTCTTAAAACATTCAATTAACCTTCCCAAAACATTCAGGCAACATCAAAATATCCTTCTGGTAACGTCAGGAAAACTTGCCGTTTTAACTTAGAAGGAACGTTTGAGGGGAAACATTTTGATAACCTTCTTATAACGTTCAATTAACGTTCCAAGAATGGTAAGGGAACATCAAAATAACCTTCTGGTTACGTCAGGAAAACTCGCCGTTTTAACTTGGAAGGAACATTTGAGGTTAGACGTTTTGGTAACCTTTTTATAACGCTCAATTAACCTTCCAAGAACGTTCAGGGAACATCAATATAACCTTCTGGTTATGTCAGGAAAACTTGCCGTTTTAACATGCAGGGAATGTTTTACAGTGAACATTCTGGTAACCGTCTTTAAACGTTCAATAAACCTTCCAAGAACGTTCCGGGAATATCAAAATAACCTTCTGGTTATGTCAGGAAAACTTGCGGTTTTAACTTGGAAGGAATGTTTTAGGGGAAACATTCTGGTAACCTTTAAACATTCAATTAACCTTCCAAGAACGTTCCGGGAACATCAATATAACCTTCTGGTTACGTCAGGAAAACTTGCCATTTATACCAGTATATTGTGTTGTGTTGCAACGTCCAAAAAACGTTCCTACAACTTAAAACAAATGTTCCCAGAACGTTTAGGGAACCAAAATTTATTAGCTGGGATGCTCTGTAGCAGGCATTACTGACAACGATAATGGATGTAAACATCAGCGCCAGCTTGACCGGTGGAGATGAGGAACAGAAGCTAATGCTGGTTGGATAAACCAGGGAGCAGCCAAGCCACAGCAGAAACTAAAGGCGAATCCTGCCAGTTGTAGGTTGAACGCGGGGTCACAGACACAGACAGAAATACGTATTCCTGTCAAATTTGGCGGCGCATGATAATTGCTTACCGGCTACTGACAAGCCCTGCTTCAGGTTCAAGATGTCTTTGTCGGTGTCATGACTGCCCAGAAATACCAGGCGAGCCCTGGCAGCACACAGGTGTGTGATGTGTCAGAGGAGAAACGAGCAGTTCACATTTCCACAAACCTCAGCGCACTTTAGGGACTGTTTTTTATTTGTCAGGGGAGGAGGGTGGCTGGTTGATTTTTATCTTATTTATTTATTTTATTTTGATCCCCCCTTATGTTAATCACTTATTCATGCTGTTTTTGAAGTATGAATAAGTCAATAAGTAATTTATTCCATTGAAATATCATTGATGTATTATAGAAAAGTGATTTATCTTTTTATAAATGACAAACACAGAGTGTAGCAAACACAGAGAAATAGTCTGACATGCTGTCAGTGATAAGCTGCTAGTCATCACAGTCCATGATATCGACTAATAACAGGAGATGTCAGATTCTGCCCCTACATTGCATGTTATCATTTTATTCTGCTTTATGTTTATATTGTACAGCGTTATAATAAACTTTATTCCAGACTCAAGTCCATATAAGATACATGCAAAAACACAGACAGTACCATAAAAACAACACAACAAGTAGGTTTAAAACACTTAAATTTTACTTAAAGTTCACTTCACTTAAAGTTTAAAACTTCTTCTCATTTTATATTGATCCCATCCAACAAAATGATATTCATTCAGCAAGACTTTTTTTGGTCCATGTCTAAAAATAAATACATTTGACGTGATTTTGTTGTTGTTTGACTTTTTATTTTATTTTTGCCAGTGCCATACAGCAACAATGCTTGGGGATGTGGTCTTTTACAAATTTGAAAATACTGTAATAATGTCACTTTTATAGAATTGGCTTCTTTATTTTATAATGTATGATTAATGTCTACATCAACAAATGTTAACCATAGAATCGTATCGAATTGTATCGTTCCTACACTGTATCGAATCATATCGAATCGTTCTGTATTAAAAATATATCGTGTTTGAATCGTATCATAACCCGTGTATCTAGATATGTATTGAATCGTCTATCACAGAGAGATCCCCAACCCTAGTAACGACAGTAGCTTACAACAACATTAATGAAAGTAATAATATTATAATTATAGTTCTGGCTTTAATGGCATGGTTCTGTAAAGAGGACCACCAATGCCTCCAGAAGAGCAGAAGAGTTGACTGGACTGGACTGGACTGAACCTCAGGCTAATGTTGTGAGTATATGCTGGGGGAATGTCACAAACAAATGAGAACATCTAACATCAAACTACAATGACTATATCTAAAAGTACCACCATACTCCACTTTTGTAAAACAAGCAAGCCCCCAAAATGGCAAAAAGGCAAACAAAACTCCTGTGGTGTAATGGTAAGACATCCATCGACTTGATGGAACTTCCAGGTTCAACTCCTGGCAGGAGTCTGTTGAATGTTTGTCAGATTGCCACCAAACCTATTCAAACCTATTTTACTACAAACTATAGGAGGCCCATAAACTACCATACAATGCCCATGCAAAAAAGTACCACCATACAGTACTCACTTTTGCATTAGCTTTAGATCATAGAGCATTCACCAATATTCTGACCCGTACAAAATACAAAATACACATGCCCACGGGCATTCTGCACTACTCATATTAAATCCTTTGTCACAGTGCTAAGTGGTAACGGTGGCTATCTATCTATCTATCTATCTATCTATAAAATGCACACACTGGGGGTGAGGTGCGATCTGTTCCAGGAGGGAGGCAGGGCCACATACCCAGCTATAGACAAGTGCATGGACTACCACTTCAACATCATCTTGGATGTGTTGGCAGAGTGGAGGAAGGACAAGTTTCAGAACCAAGGCACTCCTCTGGGGGGTAACCATAACCATCCTTTTCCTTACAGATGCCTTCCTTGTTTCATCCAACAGAGAATACAGTACACGTGTACATACTGTAAGGAAAATAAGGATATTGTGCTACAGTATATTTAATTTTCATTGAAAACATTTCCCTCCCTCAGAAAAGGTCCAGGAGGTCTACAAGAACTTCCTTCAGGAGTCTGGTATCCAGTTCAGTGAGTTGGAGGAGGTGCTTCATTTTCACCTCAGCAACCTGGAGCATGCTTGTGGAAGCACACTGGACCAGGTCTGAAGCTGAGCAGATTCTCTTGCCATAGTCAATCTAGGCCCCTGGGAGATATGGAACTCTTCAAGGAGCAGGTAAGAAAAAAATAAAGAATCATACACCTGTTTATTTGTGCACGATTCAAATGACAAGATTTTCCTTATCCTGATTTTGTCTCCATTTTCTTCAATAGGAGGTCCCTGAGCCAGTGAAGTACTTTGTAACATGTTGGAGAAAGATTTGTGGTCTCAGAATGTCCTACAGCTTTGTGAAGACAGGAGCAGTGGGGAAGCTTATGACATCATTGCTGAAGATGTTCTGGGAAAAGTGTTCTTTGCTGGGGAGGTGAGGGTTTCTAATCATTTAACCTACTACATGTATCAGTTAGTTCCTCATGTTTGAGAGAATGTAAATAAGAATTGGGCATTTAGCTTGATAACATTTGCTTTGTTTGTCCATTTCCAGGCAACCCGCAGGCACTTCCCACAGACTGTAACATGAGCCAGGGGTCCGACTGGGGTCCGGGAGGCCAGTAAAAATCACTGCTTTGTAACACCTTCCCAGACAGGGACCTGTCTTGTCACCTACCTGCCTGAGGACATCGGAGCTGTATAGATTTGAAGCAACAGGTCTTCATTTCAAAACGGTTGTCTCCATTCTTAAGAGAAGTGTTTCACCTTGAGTACTGGACCTTGTGTTGAGCAGCAGCAGCCAATACAGTCTATATGTGGAACAGTTGAAGGTTTCAGCGGCAAAGTATACAATGAACACCTCACTGGTTCAAGAGCCAGCTAATATATCAAAATCTATAAAATTAGAGTTCACTGCACTGCTGGTGTAACAGAGTTTTGTTGTTTGTTTTGGATTCCACTTGTCCCCAATCACATTTTAGTTTGTACCTGTATTGTGAATTCCCATTGGTTGGTGGGCCTCTCTGCAGTCCAGTATAAGAGGATCATGCCCATGGTAGGTTATACAAAGCACAGCGTTACATTAAATCTGTCGAAATGCAGCTACCATGATATTGTGTCCGACTGTATTGCAGGGAGTGGCCGCTGCATTGTGCTCACTTTAATGTATCAAATTGTCTATATTTTGTCAGTGTTTATACTGTAATTAGCTTCCTTAGCTCCTAAACTAAGCTAACATTTGCTAACTTTTCTATAGAGATGTGCCTTAACATTGCTGTGCCTACGTGACTGACCGGTGGATTTTCATGCTGTATTCAGGTACATCTTTTTGTTGTGTATGTATTTATTATAATGTATTAATGAACAGTGCCAGTATGAGAGGATCGTGCCCATGAGCTGTGCCTTAACGTTGCTGTGCCTACATGACTGACCAGTGGATTTTCATGCTGTATTCAGGCAATAAACGGTCAAAAGTTGAAGAGTATCGGTTCATACTTAACACAATACAACGCAGACTGAAGGAGACTGAACAAAAGTTACACTGGTACAGTTGTTTCCAAAACAAAGAACTAGTGAATTGATGTCATTGTTGTAACTGAGTAGTGTATTAGTTATTTTGTTAGGAATGTGGTGGGTGGTGCATCTTATGGTATTGGTTCTGTAATGTATATGGGCACTTCACTGTCACAGATATTTGAGATAATGTTCAAATTAGTACTTTTATAGGAGTACTTTTCATTTATAATAAGTAGATGAACTTGGGACAGGACAGATTTCAGATGGGATTGATAACGCTTTAAAATACCAAATAGGAATAGTATGATGGACACTAAAGGGACATAATTCACCTCAGAAACTGTTGGGTTGGAGAAATGTTTTGGCGGCTGTATAGGCCTTTTCAGTTCCTGTTAGTGTTTTGTGACTTGTAAATAAATGGCTGAGCTGTTGCTAGCCAGACTTCTTTTCTTGCCTCAATCAAATCTCTTCTGTCCTGACAACTGAAAGATTATGTCCTACGAAGCTGCAGGAAATATGGGCCATAAAAAAACAAACCAGTCAATTTTCATTCTAGCCATTAGACTCTTTCTAGGTTACACACAACACACACATATTTGTTGGCCACATTGATTGCATATGTTTGTGTCATTTATGCTTTAAAACCCAGTATAAACCCTTACCCTTCTGTCAGATGTTTGTCGGATTATTTGTCATGTATGTAATGAAATAAGATGACACCATGATTCAGATTTGAATCTGAGCCACTTCAGTAAAGGTAAGCTCTTTTGGTCAATCCCTTGAACTGTCAGTCAAGTTTGAATACCATTTAATAACTTTTGATACATATTTATTTGCAATTAGAGACACTCAAAAGGGGAGTTGAGAACTTGATTTAAATGTTGAAGCAACAAAAATATGTATTTGACAACAAAAAGTTCACACAGTAATTGCTTTAGAGTTGGAAGAAAATTAGTTGTGATTTAAAATTACTTGAGATCCTCTCCTGGCTTAACTTAATTGTGGAGAAAAAAATCATTTTATAGCTACTAGTCCATATCCATTGAGAGTGCATGTCTCTATGACATACGGGGCATGAGATATGCCCATTTCGGAATTTCAATCTTTAGGAGGTTTCGGTTACCCTCTGCCACTGTGCCAAATTTCATATGTCTATGACATATGGGGCATGAGATATGCCCATAATATCACCATGGGCATAATACACTGAAGGACCGGAATCCCCGACACAAGATGGCGGCCGTGTAGGCACGTCACTTCAATGGGCAGCTACGCTGGACGATTCATCAAGTGTTTTTATAGATATCTATGGTGGTGCATGCGATGCACAGACGCGGAGACACACCGTCACTTTGGTCACTCGGCGACCAATCGTCATCAGAGGGCATTTCCCGTCAGAATCAGAATCGGCAAGTAACTGACTCAGTACTTCATCAACAGTGAAAATTCCTTCAGGCATTTTGTATGTTTCGCACCGCACTCTCTGACTCCATTCACTTGCTGTGTTCACTCCGCTTGCTGTACTCTACCCTTCCCTCCATGTTTCAAACTCTTTTTTCTCAAACTTTTTGAATAGAAACACACCCACAAATGATGTCAGGATTGAAGCTGAACATGTTCGCCACCTAGGGGTACAAAGTAATAACAAGATTTGGCAGTATATTTAGAGCTATGGTCTGTTTTATTCAGCAATGCTGCTTGTCGCAATATTGCGACTTTGGCGCTTAGAGGGTTAAACAGCATGTAAACATTATATATCAGTGTTAGCTGTCTGTCATGTGCTATTACAGCCTTTACTGCTAATACTGCTGTTGATACTTTTAGGATTATGAATGTCAAATACATATTGTAACATATTCTAAATACATACAATATTATACACACATAATGCTCAGTAACTGTAGTACATGTAGTATGCAGCACATCTTTTGATTGATCACGACTTCTACATACCTACAGCTACAGAAACCATACAAACATCAAAATGTTCAGCTCTGTAAGGATTTTCCGATGTTTGTGGCAATATGTTTGATATTTCTGCACTTTTCTTTAATTTCAGCATTCTACTACTATTAAGTATTACTGCTTCTATTATTTTTTCTGTACATTTTCTGATTATTAACTGCCTACCTTTAGCTACAGAAATCATTCAAATGTCAAAACGTTTAGTCCTTTAAGGACATTCATACTTTATTTTTTTTCTACCTTTTATGCTATTTAAAGTCTGAACTACTGCTACTCCTGCTAACTCTACATCTGCTTGTAGTAGTACTGCTTCTCCTACTTCTCCTGTCCATGTGTTGTTTAATCACTACTTCTACATACTTTCAGCTACAGAAACCATTCAAAATCAAAACGTTCAGCTCTGAGGATTTTCAGATGTTTGTGGCAATTTGTTTGATATTTCTGCACTTTCAGCATTTTCTTTCATGCATTTTCAGCCATGGTCTTGAATTAATTTCAGCATTCAGCATCCACACGCAGGAAATGCATTTTCTAGTTGTTTATAGTATTTCCCTTTTATACTTATGCTTCTAATTACTCTATATTTTTATATATTTTATATTCTTTGTTATACACCAATACACCAAGTCAAATTCCTTGTATGTGAAAACCTGCATGGCAATAAAACTGATTCTGATTCTGATTCTGAAATATCTTTCGGACTAGATAAATATAGATGGGATGGTGTCAGAGAGAGGGAAGATATTCAGAACCGATGGGGTTGAACTACCAGAAGGCGGCATTGCAGATGTTAAGGACAGCTACAAATATCTTGGGGTCCCGCAGGCAAAAGGGAACCATGGGGAGGCTGCAAGGAAGTCAGCCACAGCCAAATACCTACACAGAGTAAAGCAGGTCCTGAAAGGTCAGCTGACTGGAAATATATGTATATTGTGATGTCATGGCTGCAACAAGGACTACAACCCATCATGGCATCCAGGGAAGGACTACAAGAACCATAGTCCTGAGGACAATCAAGACAAAGGTCAATACCCAGCTGAAGGGGATGAGCTGATTGCCCCAGTGAAAAGGAAGAGACTGCAGTGAGCAGTGTTTGAGACAAAAGAGACAGCTCTGAGACACAGGGAGGAGCAGACTTTTGTTAAAAACGTAAAGACAGTGAACTTTATTTAAATACCTATTTTGGTTTTGTTTATTTTGTAAGAATAAGGTGTGCTGTANAACACAAAGGTAGGTAGGCCCTGATATTTTATGATTATACCTATGCATTATAGGACATCAACAAAAAGACAAGAAGCACAAGCCATCTGGCAGATTGGAAACAAGCCAGCAGTTTATCCAGATAATCTATACTTTATCTAGAGGCCAAACCAAAAGGGAACACATATGATCTGTCATAATACAAACACCTGCAGTAGCTACAGTAGGTCACAGGTGAAGCACGAAGTGGGTCTGTTTAAAACAGACTGTTTGGTAATCATTTTGGTGTTGACTTTTGTTTTTTCTTCTCATGAAGGAGGTGTGTTTCTTGCCCATTTCACTGCTTGTGTTTCTTGTCCCCAGAACTCAGCAAGCACGTTGGTGAACACAGTGTTATCATAAAGATGGAACTGATGGTCAGAGTAACAAAAATGAAAATTTAAGTTGTAATACACCAAAATAAGTAAAGGATCAAAATCCCTCTTTTACCAGTGGCAGTGGGACAGTGAGCTATAAATATTTGAATGTGTTCATTTTGTGATAATCACATCAAAAGATGGCAGAGCTGTAAAGCTCTTCTGCTTTACAAATGTGTTTATCTGGGTGTGTTGGTTGTTGACATTATGGGAAGCCGTGTCAACGTCAGCTTGATACATGCATTGTCTGATATCAAAATACATTTCTGTTTTCACAGGAAATGTACACTTTGCATATAGTCTGTTATGCATTACATCACTACAACACAGTGAATTTACGTTTTCCTTCTTTGTTTCTTTTTGTGCAACAACAAATGCATGTAGCTATGTTTAGCCAACAAACACACGTGGTTGGGTTTAAGAAAAAAGAACAGGGTTTGGCTTTACAATCATACAGGAAGTAGACACCGTAATCCCTGATGGAAGTCGAAGGTTGTTGTTCCCAATCCCTCCCCTCTTACTTGGAATTTCGTCACCTTAACTTACGTTGGTGTGCGGCCTGTGTTTTCCCCTGATGCTGTTACAGAATTACAGCAACCAGCCGCGTATCATGCCGATGTAAAAGGAAGGCTTTTTTGTCTGTGTCTGATGCTGGAAGTCACTGACCAAATGCTAGTATCTAACAACTTCAGACTGAGACCTGGTTGACTGAAATGGTGAAAAGCTGCTGCTGTTTGGTTCTATGTAAAGGTGCAAAGGAGACGTAAAGAAGGGACTATGTAGCAGCTCTATGGGAAGATCTCTGTGTAAAAAGAGCTTATGTATCAGCGCTGTGATAGTCTGCTGACCTGTCCATGGTGTTCCCTGCCTCTTGCCCAATGACAGCTAAGATAGGCTGCACACCCTTCCCTACCCCTTCCAGTCCTGAACCAGGATAAGCAGCACCACAGTGGAAATGGAACATTCTGTGTTGGTACAAAGAAAATACTAATTGTTTTAAACAGTTTCATTTTCATCCCTTTAGTACCCACTTGGAAACTCTACACCAAAAGTCCACAACCTCTAGTGACTAAAGATCATCATCATCGTCACTCACAGCAGATGCACTCACACCACACCTCCTCTAAAATCTGTTACTTGTCTGCTGAACTCACCTGAGAAACTTATTGAGATCTCCGTGCCTCATGTACTCAAAGACCATGATGAGAGGGTCTCCGTCCACACAGACTCCATAGAACTTCACTATGTGCTCATGCTGGAGGTTGGTCAGCAACTCAGCCTCACGCTGGAAATCTTTCCTGGCTGCAAGAGTGGGGTCCTTCAGAGTCTGGGGAGAGAGAGAAAGAGCATGTTGGATTAGACTACCAAATCATGACCAGATCAAGGGTTATAATGTGGTAGCCTGTAGCAAACAAACTGGGCTACTGTAAGAACATGGTGATCTCTGTAGATGAGGACCTGCTCCCTATGTAGATATAAACAGCTCATTCTAAGGTAACGAAAACACATTGGGCCTCAGTAATGAAATGTTAGCAAATCTGTGAGTAGATATGCACATAAAAAAAAACACCGGATTCATGAATGCTGTGGAAAACTAAGATTTGATTGTAGGCACGCGTAAAATGACAGCACACTGTAACTAGCCAGCAATTAGCAGACATCCCCGCCCATGAATAGCCAGTGACCCTTGGGGGTGCCGAGGGATGGTTCGTCCAGGGCGTAAAACTAGCCAGGACTGCCTCTGTGTATAATCACTACACATTTTGACAGCCATTATTGATAGCGTAGTGTTTGGTCAGTGACGTGGGTCTCACAGTCCCGCCACTCAAACAGGAGATAAAATTGTGGAGTTCTCTTTCTTGATTGAATCAAGTGGAAACAGTACCGGAAATGTAGAAAATATTAAAGTTTTGATTAGACTGTATTATTTGTAACCCAGACAAGACAGTCTACATATATGTAACGTGATCCACAAATATCTCACTATATACAAACATGTCTTTTTAGGGACTTCGGCCCTAAAACGTGCGTTTATTATTAGGGACCTCGGTTGAAGGGCGAGGACCCTATTGTTTTTGGTGCTTTTATTATTAGGGACCTCGGCCAAGGGCAGAGGACCCTACTGTTTCTGGTACGTTTAATATTATTATTATTATTATTATTTCAAATATTTTTTGGGGCTTTTTAGCCTTTAATGTATAGGACAGACAAGCATGAAGGGGGAGAGAGAGAGGGAGTGACATGCAGCAAAGGGCCACAGGCTGGAGTTGAACCCGGGACGCTGCGGCAAGAGCCTTGTACATGGGGCGCCTGCTCTACCACTAAGCCACCAACGCCCCATTATTATTATTATTTTTATTAGGGACCTCGGCCAACGGACAAAGTCCCTATTGTTTCTGGTACGTTTATTATTATTAGGGACCTCGGCCAACGGCCCTATTATTAGGGCCTGAGCAATGACGAAGTCGTCCGTGAGGACCCTATTGTAATCCTGCTGTTTATCATTAGGCCCTGAGCGACGACAAAGTCATCCGTGAGGACCCTATGGTAATCATGCTGTTTATTATTATTAGGGCCCGAGTGACAACGAAGTTGTCCGTGAGGACCCTATTGTAATCGCACTGTTTATTATTATTAGGGCCCGAGTGACGATGAATTCGTCCGTGAGGACCATATTCTAATCATGCTGTTTATTACTATTATTAGGGCCCGAGCGGTGATGAAGTTGTCCACGTAGGACCCTATTGTAATTGCGCTGTTTATTATTATTAGGGCCCGAGCACCTAGCGGTGCGAGGACCCTATTGAAATGCAAGGATTTATTATTATTATTATTATTCTTCCTCCAAATGAATTGCCTTTTTGGGAGGCTTAACATACCCGAAAACTCATGAAACTTTGCACACATCTCAGAACTTGTGAAAAATTTGATATTTTAAATTCACTTTTTATAGTCTGTGATTTTTGTGCTTTGATGCACCAAGATGGCTCAGCAGCGCCCCCGAGGATATTTCAATTAAGCAGCCCCCAAAGCTAGTTTGACCTGCATGTATGAAACTTGGTAGGCACCTGTAACACTCTATTACATACAAAAAAGTGTGTTCACGAGACGTGGCTGTCTCTCAAAATCACTTTATTTTCTTGCTTGGACCAACGGTTTGGGTATGCGAAGCATTTGTTCGAGGAGTTAAATCCCTTTATAAACAGCCTTTGGTGATCTGCTCTCCTGACGTGTCTGTGTCTGCCACAGGTGCAGGCAAGTCATTAATTGCCATGACAACGGCTGCACACACAGACACAGCCACAGGGTTCTCTGGTCTGTGTGTCTCACAATCTTTAAAGGACAGATTACAGCAGCAGAAACTTCATTTGAAACAGAACACACATATTATTAACCCCTACAGTACCAAAATGGGCTCTCTAGCGCCACATAGGTGCACCAAACTGGCCACTGCAGCCCGTAGGAATGTCGTATCAAGATCAAACCAAAACTGGAGTGTTCGACCTACAAATAACACGCTAACACCCATGACCTAAATCCAACAGGAAGTGAGCTATTTGCCCTTTCAAAGTAAGATTTCCCCTCAAACGTGCTCTTAAAAAAAAACACAT